CCCCCCAAACACACACACACGCACACACACACACACACACACGCTCACACACGTCCACTCCATACGCCACACACACACACACACACACACACACACAAACACACACACACACACACACACACACACGCGCGCGCGCGCGCGCACTCACACACCATGCACAATTTAAACAGTAAACAGCAACTGGAGATTTTGCGTAATAGTGACCTTACCTTCGTATTCGTGGACAGACTGCTGTGGCAAAAGTATTTCAATTTTATGGAATACCGGTACAGACCGTGCAAGACCTGTTCTCTTTAGAAAAGGGCACATAGTAACAATTACTGAAAGCAAAAGATAAAAAGAAAGAGTACACCTGCAATTCAAGCAGCAGCGGTGGCGACAGCACAACCACAAAAACTTTGTCATGAATGAGAAAATTAAATTAGAGGGGGGCGTTGCAGGGCGGGGCGAGAGGCAGTCGCCTATATAAAGGGACTTTGAATGGACGGGAAAAGCACGATATAAGAAAAATCGAATACAGAAGAGGCATATTTGCTTTTTTGTTATTGTTATTATTTTTCTCTTCGTGTGATATAGAATGAATTATGCTATGTTGGAGGTGTACTTTGTAAGTCAGAGCCAGTCTGTCGCTTTTAAGTCTATAATAAGTTCATGCTCGCCGTTATTCGAAGTTTCTTTTGAACAATAACGTGTCTACAACCTGTGACTGTAAACGAGAATGGAAAATGAAATGTACCGTAAATTTACAAAACTGAAAAGAAAACATGAATTTAAAAAGAATTTTTTTGCGATCGGATGGATTGTTTATAGAGATCTAATAGGCCTATGAAATTGTAGGCCTATAACATTCATTGACGCCTCTAATTCGTGACTGCGGCAGATATGAAAAGCGTAGCTTTTTCAGCAGGTCTTCCTTGATCACGTGATAAAGCATAAAGCTGCAGCCATGATGGTGGGTGGACCCGTTGACTATGGTTTAGGATTTTTCGTTAGAATGCATTCATTTCTGTAGAGATATTGTTTTTTAAGTTAAATTTTGACAGCAACGATTCATTCTTATATTTCAGGATGGAATCGATGACAGCCCTGACCTCTTGGCAGAGGATCAGGAAAACAAGGTTGGTTCAGCTTCTAGGACTCCAGGCTATCTGTTTGTTGTCACCGGTGTGTCCATTCCTTGTGTTTGTAATCCGATGGTTTACTTCCTGTAGGCCTATCACTGAGCCCCGCCTCTAAATCAATTACGATTGCGATTCTTTCTTCTTGTTTGATTTATTATGTCAAACAACAAGTACTACTTCTGGGAACTCCCCCCCCCCCTCCCATTTTACCTGTATTGTAAAGAAATCTTTTGTCTCTTGACTCTTGAACTTGTTTGATATTTGATACAAAATCAAATCCATCATTCTCCTACTTCTGTCTGTTACTTACAATTGTAGTTGTAGTGTATCGACTGCTAACATCCAAATTTATATCAAGACTATTTAGATCTAGAATCTAGACTTTAGGGCTGAGGGATAGTAGTTCTAGATCTAGAATCTAGACTTTAGGCTAAAGGGCTAAAGTTAGGGCTGAGGGAAAGTCTAGAGAATCTAGATTGTTATAGATCTATCGATGGCCACCTCTATTCTCACCCGGGATGAGAATAGTGCAGGCGAGTCTTTTGGCTATTCTCACCCGGTGCGCGTTCACCGTTATAGCCTAGATCTAGACCAACAAATTTTGCGTTCACCCTAAACCACAGAATTCTACACTGTGATAACAGAAAAATTGTAGAATTCTGTGCCGTGAACAAACGTCCCATTACAACTGTAGCCTACTAAAAGCGTACAATTTTGTCTGTGGGCAGTGGAGAGAGAGAGGGAGAGAAAGAGAGAGAGAGAGGAGTAGCGCGAGAACTTCCGGTCAAAACAAAATGGCGACCCGCGTAGTTCGGCTCGATTCGAAAAGTTAAATAGCCGTAGCATCTTTGTGGACAACCAAATTAGTTTACTTTTGTGCTTTAACATCATTTTTTAACTTTGTTTTGGTCAATTTGATCGTCCACACCGATAGACAGTATTCAGAAAGAGACAGAGAGAGGGGAGGAGTAGATCTTGCGAGAACTTCCGGGCAAAACAAAATGGCGACCCGCGTAGTTCGGCTCGATTCGAACAGTGAAATAGCCATAGCATCTTTGAAGATGATCAAATTAGCTTACTTTTGTGCTATAACGTAATTTTTTCTTGGCTTTTATCAATTTGATCATCCACACCGATAGACAGTATTCTAAAATGAGGAAAAGCAGGTCTTGTTTTGCACCGGGTGAGAATAGCCTACGCTGGCAAGTCTCACCCGGGGTGAGAGGTAGATCGTTTTTCTATTCTCACCCCGGATGAGAATAGCCACTTCCATAGATCTACTAGTAACTAGGAGAAGATTGAAGAATACCGGACCACTCGTACATTATTGCATGAGAAAGTGGGGCGGGTGGTTGGGGTGGAGGATGGGGGTTCAGGGGGGTCTCCCCCCTGACAAAATTTTAATCAATAGATCTACCGGTCCGAGATTCTCCATTGAGAGATATTAAAAACGGGAAAATTATATGAATTCCTAAGGTTGAGACATAGGCAAAGTCAGTCCGCTGGTCCGGTATTCTTCAATCTTACCCATTCTAGTATGGAATAAAGGCCCAAGCCAAGTCTTTTCATTACTCCAAAATTTGGTTTTATTTTATTTTCCTTCCCGTTTCACACTTAGGCTAACTATTCTATATCATGATTGTGTCCTTTTTCTGTTCAGAAGCCTCTCTGTACCTAACTGTTGACTACTTCTGTACTTTTCTATCTCTAGATCTGTATAGATTCTAGTAGCAGCGTATGCCCTGAACACGAATATTAACTTAATTTCTTTCGCAAATTAAAAGTTGGAAAAATATGTGATGGTTTCCAATGTCTAATAGAACTTAATCACATTAAGCCTAATTTCGTAGGGGTAGTAATTACCGCGCTTTACATCAATTGGGGGCATGCTCCCCTGACGTAGTTTAGAAAAACGCAAACACAGTGACTACATTCACGAGGCTGGGAAAATAGTTTGCAGGTTACGTTTACGGCGCCCTGAATCATCCACCATTGACACAGAAGCACAACTGAAATGCAACAGAGTTTACGGAGGTCGAAGGTGGGCACAGCGAAACAGCGGCGATCGACAAGGCCAGACAAGGCCTCACTCGCTAAGCGCGCGGAACCCGACACGACTTCGATCCTCTTCTCTGTGCGGACTCGGCAACGCTCGACAATTTGAAATTAAAAGGTCATTCGAAGAAACAAGGGAGAATGGAAGAAGGCCAAGGCAGGAAGAGGGGGGGGGGGGGGGGGGGGGGGAGAAGCAAAAGGAAAATGGTAGGGGGTGAAGGGAGCAAGATCATTCTTAAATTGTAAACTACATCCAGGGCACCGTGAACGTAGTCACTGCGGGGGGGAAAAATCCGGGGGATTATGGGGGCATTCCCCGTTATAACCCATAATTTGATGTTTTGCAATTAGTTAGGTTTGAAATTTTCTTGAAAATAATTGATTTGCGACAGTTTTAGTGGCTGTATGTGTGATCAACAAAATACTGCAGGTTGACCCCAAAGTAGTTCATATTTGTGCGGGAGTGAAAGTAAAAATGTAGCCTACACATAATCCAACATAATTTTTAATTGCTCTTTCCCAGACTTGATGATAACTGGTCACGTAGTCTTACATGTCTAACGTGTGTATCCCACCTTGCCTTTTGGTATTTATGCTCTCCCACAAAACAACAAACTGCACAACTTTTGGTCAGAGTACAAACAAGGGGTTATTCAGTCAGACAATAGTGAAGTAATTTGATGTTTTGCAACTAGGTTTGATATTTTCTTGAAATCAATTTATTTGCAACAGTTTTTGTGGTCATGTGTGTGTTCTACAGTTAAAAAATGTGGCAGCAAGCCCCCAAAAGCAATGCATCTGTGTGGGAGTGTAAAAGTAAAATTTTACCATTTTCCAAATGTTTGGTCCTGCTGAAGCACAATTTATTGGTACAAAAGTTCTAGCCTGCCTGTCTCATTTTGAAACATTTTTCATTAATTAAATTTGCTTGTACTTGTTTGGTTTTATTGTAAAAGTTCAGGATGCTGGATTGTTTTTAGTACAGTAAGCTTATTGACCCTCCCACTTCCATTTCCAAATCAATGGGGTTTCAGGGGAGTGACCTCCTTTGTTGGTGGTTTAGGACTAAGGATGGATTTACAGGGAGGCTCAGTGTAAAACTTTGTCATACGTAACTGTCAAAATGTGTAACGTGGAATCTTACAAGAAGCAGTCGACTTGTACTTGTAGGCTAGCATAAACATATATTAGAATTGAAGTTAAGGGATTTTGCTTGCAGACCAATATATCAACTTGACAGAATCAAAATAATTTTTTGATGCCTGAAAGTGTTCAAGACCTGCAATGCATAAAATGAGAAGCCTGTACTGGAATTTTCTATGACAAAATATGTTGCAAAAATAACCAAATGACTCCTCCTACTTGATTGTTTTTAATGTGAGTCACACTGCAACGAAAATCATTTACACAGGAAATGGAGAGTCAGTCTGTTGATAGTGGGATGCTACTCAGCTCTGTGAGTTCTTTCTTATACCCTTTCCCTCATCAGAAAGTTTCAAATGATGGCACTGCACATTGACACTGGCACAATTTTTTCTTAATGTAAAACTTGCAAAAATAGAAACTTATGTTTTCCCGCCTAATTGGATTGATCAAAGTGCATGAATACTCATCTGATGTTTTGGTTTTCATTTTTTCGCTTACTCTTCAAGGTTTAGTTTGTAACCTGCAGAGGTGTTGAATATAAGGGGGGGGGGGGGGGGGGGGTACCTGAAAAGTTTAAATTGTTTTAGTTTTTTGTATCTCTGCTTTCTTTAATTTTCTTTGATGTGTTTAACCAAATCGTTCTACATTGCCTGTTATGGCAAGACATTTATCTCCTTTTGTTACTACTTTTTCTAAACTGAATTTTAGTTGAACAAATTTTTCATTACTTGATGATGAATAGGTTGTTCAATAGAAAAGCAAGATTGAAAGATGGATGTTGTAGATCTTGTAAACTCTTTTCCAGTTCATTATTTATTTTTAGATGTGATGTACAATTTGCAAACTTTTATAAAATTTAGTCACATGATATATTGTGGGGTTTTATATTTATTATAAGGAACCACTGAATAGGTGTGTAAATAATTCTTGCATTGTTGCTTTAGTCAAAAAGCATTCAATTATCGTCTCCAAATTTCCAAAACTTGAGGTAATCTCTTTGTACACTGAACCAACGATTGGGCTGTGAGGTAGTGACTTTTAATAATAATAATAGATAGATAGCATTTGTATAGCGCATATCCCCGCTCAGCAGCAGGCTCTATGCCCTTTACACTATATTATTACCCCAGCAGACCATAGAACACTCCGAAACATTCTCAGCTTCCCAGGAAGCATACTTTTGCCTCAGATGACATCAATTGCAACTTTCCTTTCATACAAATATATTCACACAGCTACAAATAGTGATAATTGGGCACAGTTCATCAACCAAACGAGTTTGAGCTTGTAGAATCCACCTGGTACACATATTAATAACTGAGATAGTAAAGATTGAGATCAAGCTTTATCCTATGGTCAAGCATGTTTTAATGTCCATCACCTATCTCCTCCCCCCCCCCAACCACAAACACATAGCATTTGAACTTTGGATGAGTCTGTGTGTATGTCAAATAGGTGACACATAGCATCACTCCTTGATATTAAGCATGATTATTAAAAGGGAAGATAAAAAGGGGAAAAAAAGTGGCTTCTCTGGCTGTCATTAGTTTCAATTTTAGAAAAGGATTTCCCATCTTTATACTTTATAGAATGATATTGATTTTATCAACAAACTGGCTTTACACAAGTTTATTATTATTTTTCTACAATAGAAGGCTAATGGTTTGAATTGCCCTTGTTGGTGATCTTTCTTGAATTTTGTCTCAGAATGAAGAATTCAGACATTGCCTTGTCATGGTTTTGTTTGAGCAGTGAGCATTTTTAATGCTGTAGAAAAGTGAGACTTAATTGTACAGGTATGATACAATTTGTTCAGTTTATCTTTTATAGTATAGTGACAGTTACTGATTCATGATTATTTAACGATGAAAGTGAAATGTTAAAAAATTATGTTTCAAATGGAAGAACCCAATTTTGCTGCCGTACCTCAAAATTTTTGTGCCAAAATGCAACAAACCTTTATTTTGTTTGTTGGTACTATGTCTATCCTTTGGTTGAACCAAAACAAAAATGCATTGGCAGTCATTAAAGAAACATGCATGGCTAGTTTTACTATTTTTATTATTAGATGATAAATAGTAGAGTAAAACAGTTTTTTTCCCCATATCTCAAAAGTAGCAAAAATAAATGAGATGTGCCAATTTGCGTGTGCAGTTATGAAATGCTTAAAATTTCTGGAATACATCGTAAAATTAGTAAGTAATTTATTTGACTAAATATAAATGAAAAATAGGTAATTACCTCATGAACAAATCATAAATTCAAGTTTTGTAATAAGAAACACTTCTGACTCTAGCAAGGTATATATAGGTATTCATTGGAGAATACAAATCACATTCCTTCTTCATGCAGCACTGGTATTTAATTTTATTGTTTCACTCAGGGTACAGCACTTGGCATGAGGTGCGCTTGTAGTATGGGAGAACAAAAGATTTAGTCAATGCTGTTTTGTACGCTATTGAAATGAAGAAGCAATTTTTCAGACTTTCCTTCTGTCTTTAGGCCTATAAGGATTTTTAAAAAAAAACTGGAAATGGGGTCATTGATTTACTGAAGAATATGGCTCTTATTGTTAGTTGAAACAATAAGTTATAAATAATCACTTGTCATTATTGTTTTATCACATTTTCACTTCTTCTGAAGATTGGATCAAGTGTATTTAAATAAGTTAGTTTT